AAAGTCAAATGTCTCATTTCTCTTCCTTCATTCGTCAACCTTGTCAAACGTGAGAGCGTTCCTATGTATGTCATGTGTTCATAGCTCACAATAGATGGACTCATAACATTACATAATAAGCACGAGTCACATAATATGTGTTCTAAAACATTTTACAGGGTACTGAACACGTAAACATAGAAGGTTCTGCACATGATAAAAGAATGAAGGCAGTTGATGTCATTTGATCTGCATTTGAAAAGGAATGCAATTCGTTCATTTCGTGACATGAATGTACAAACAAAAATTCAAATATTGACCCGATTGTCACCTGCAGAGCTACATCCCAGTCGGTGTGGTCTTTCATGTGATAATATCACTTTTCACATAACGTTCCGCTTTGGTAGTCAGGATAATGTCAGTTCACTTTCTTCTCCCAAGCTGGGAAACGTTGATCATTTAGACGGGTCTGAGAGTCAAAGTGATAGATGGGAGTGTGAGAGACCAAGCAAGAAATGTCAGAAATGATGAGTCAACTGGGTACTTTTTACAGGGAAGGAAAAGCGAATGTTCATAATTTCCGGAGAGGAAACATACTTGATTTTTTGATATTTCATCATCACAATCTCACTGCACTCGTATAGTTGACAGTATTCTAAGGAGGACTCAAGAGTCATATGGAGAGAAAGATACAATTTGTTGCGAAAAGAAAAGACTTTTAATTCAAAAAGTTGAGAAGCTTTAAAGATGAACTTTACTCTCTGAATTCTTTATCGTGATGACGCTAGTATAGTTTAAAACTATTGAACTGTTATGAATATTGAAGAATTGGTCTGTGTTGCTGGTTTTTGTACAAAAGCAATAACTTTTAGTAGTTGAAAGATTTTCCGTATTTAATCTTTTAAATATTAATGTCATGATGTTCTTAATTCTGTATCTGTATTCTTAACATTGTATCGTTTGAGTATGTTGACCATATACAATAAAAATACCAAGTCCTTTTTATTGTACATGACGCAGATGCTACTGCGGTAGGTAAAGTTTTCTGGAATGGTCTTAGCATTGGTTTTAGCACGAAAAGTCTTGTTATTATGCAAAATTTGAACGAACACCCATAAATGAAACCATGAAATCTAAAGAACGCCGAATGAAATCGTGGAGCCGAAAACCCTCGCAAAAAACATCTGCGGTTTAAAACCAGCGATTTAAAACCCCCTCATTCCGCATTCAAATCAAAGCCGTCTTGCAGGTTTGAGGTTATGTTCGTGGGACGCGGGAAGGTCAGATGACGTCACAGCTCGCCACCGCCTCGCAGATCACGTGGATACTTCACGGTCGTTGTTATACTATATCGCATACAGTTACACTATATTACCTGTCACTTCGCTACCGTATCATTAGCTAGATTGTGGGGCCTTGTTGTGATCGACGCTACACAGGTGAGAACAAGGAAAGAATACAGCGAGTTCTAGATATAGTTGGCAGTGATGTTTAAAAGGAGCTTCGGTTGGAAAGCTGTAATGTTTTAACACATCTATTATTGTAAATGACGGGTTTATCTTAGTGTATCCAAAAGATACTATGGCTTTTGTAATACCCAGCTACACCCCAAAGGGTTTCTGCCAATTAGATGATATTTTATGTATCATGAAAACAATATGACGGACTGTGTTTAGGATCGAATTACGAATTATCAAATTACGATTGGGCAAAACCTTTGAATTTCTAAATTATTCAAGTAGCAATACAATCTATTAGGTCCTTATACTGTACACAGTTTTTTTCAAAAGAAAAACTAGCTATAGCTGCGTAACTCAGCAAAGTCTTCTTAAGCTTGATAAGCTGGTTCAAAACCGGATGTTAGTACTATCTTATCACTGAACTGACCACTGGCTTGCCATGTGACTTGTGCCGTGACAACTGACAATTCTTGCCTTTAGCCACACGTAGCAGTAGGCCTATATGGTTTGTATAGTTGAAGTCAAAAATAAATTGATTCACAAATTATCCTTGATACAAATTCGAATCTCCTTACATCACCGTCTAACTCGAATGACAAATAAATTCCAAGAGAAAGGAGTAGAACTTACGTCACGAGGTTTCGCTGTTTGATGTTATCTTCGTATCTTGAAATAGAAAATTACCTCGGGCGATCTCGACATGATCGTAGCGATATGTCTGTGCTAAGTACTGCATTACTAAGTACTGACAGTTTCTAAGTAGTCTATTCGTACGTAGTTTATCTAAATCTGGGTGGGCATTAATTGCGCCAACTGACCCGAGTCAGGTAGTCGGATACTCCTGAATTCCGCCAACTACTCCAGGGAGCCACCTGATACGTTCCTTAACCAAGCCAAGTTGCGGCCGTCTTTGACTGTATAATTGAGTAGGTTAGGTTAGGATAGGTTAGGTTAGGATGACACGTAAACAAGGTCATTCCTTCTGCCGGAAACTTACCCATACCTCGCTTGAAATGGCGCAACTAAGGAACTCTTTTGCGCAATTAATGTACGGCCAGTCTATCTAATGAAAAGTAAAGTACATTCGGTCATATAAAGTACATGGGGTGTTTTAAGATAGCTTTAATTTTTAAAACTACATTTTACTTACGGACTCTTGACATCTTTAGGATCACTGACCTAAAATTAAACAGAGCTTATTAGTTCATTGGTACACAAAACGAAACAAAATTTAAAATGTGAAAAGTATAAATGCATAGTATATAGTTACAGTATTTGTGTAACCAGTGGGCAAAGGCAATTTGCACTCGTGTAACACATTATATTTTTCCTACAGTTATTATTAAGGATAGAAATAATTAGTTTTTCAAACACTAAACAGCACGTTTTAGGTTAGGTTAAATCCAAGCGTTGAACGAAATGGGAAACATTGGATTTAACTTAAACGTACTATTTCCTATACGTACTATATTCACATACTAAATAGTAATGCCTAGTACTTACATAGTTTTTTAAATTAGCTACGAAAGTCCATTGGCATAAAATAGGCCTAAACCGAATGTTTATAAATTAAAACTGAATGTTTCTGCTAGTTTTTAGAACCATCAGTAGACCTTAGACTTATCAGTAAAATTGGTATAATAATTTGATGATAACGCTATATCAAAGTAATAAATATGCTTAAAGGTTATCTAAGCAGCAAATGTTTTTTACCGTTGTAAGCAATATCATATCACGTATTAATATAAATTTTGTTTTAATATCGCAAAATATTTAGGGCACCAATTAACAGATTGGTTTGATAGCGTGATCTTTAAATAATCATTTGCGGACACCTTTCAATGGAAATTCTTTAGATAATAAATTATATACCAGTAAATATGTTTTCAACTCACATTATGCCTTTTTTATGTAAAAGATTAAGAAGTGAATTTGAGAATAAAGTTTACAAACACATAAATCATATTTACTAATCATTCTCTTCACTCTGGAATTAGTTCTCTAAACTCACACAAAAAGTAAATAAAATACGTTGATTTTTTTTCGGCACAGTAACAATTTTCTTTGTAACCCTTTTCCACTACAATAGTACATGAACTAATGAAAAGGGAAACGGAGAACTGGCCACCTCTGGCACTAATTCGCATATAGAAGTTTCGAAGTTTGGTTAGGTTAGGTTAGGTTAAAGGGCCACTTGTTATCGAGGGTCTTCTTATCAAGGTTCCACTGTATAAATATGACCCCTGATTTTTACGACCAGTGGCCGGGACCACTACACTCAATGAATAAATAAGGTCTTTGTTCATGGACGAATTTCAGTTACACAAAACTATTTACAAATTGACTCAAGTCAGGACTTAAACTAAACTAATCAATTTCTATCAAATGTGCAATTATTATGTAAATAGAAAGCCTTTGTAAAATTTTGTAAGTTTTAAAAAGATTGAAATGTTAAAATCTTTCTTCAATATATTAATTAAATCTTGTTTATATTGTAGCTAACATCGTAACGTGTACAGCGACACATTTTAATATGGTGATTAATAATTAATTATGCTAGGGATTAAATAATTGTTATTCATTGAAATAAAAGCTAAACCAGTTATTATTAGCGAATTTCCCTATAGGGAAGTAGCTATTACCGTAGGTCTCATGGTAACACTTAGGCCCGGGACCGATTAACTTTTTCATTTTGATGTCCCCAGAGGCTAAAAACACCATTCGTTCAAATTTTTATATATGTATATATATATATATATATATATGTGTCCGTGAACACGATAACTTGAGTAATTTTTATCCGATTTTGATGAAATTTGGTTTTAAGGTGTAAGGCGGGATAAACTTGAATGAGTTCGCGATCCAGCATGATCGGACCATGGGAACAGGGTTTTATGGGGTAAAAATTGGTTTTTCTCACTTTTGACCCTCAAAACACAAAATTTCCCAATTTTCCTCTAAACCTTCTTAAAGAGCTTAAAAAAACAAACAATTCAGTATATCAAAGTGTTTTTGTACGGTTATTGGTTACGGAGAAAACTAAAAAAAATTGTCAATTTAAAATTCCCATGTTATTCTTATGGAGAATATTGTAAAATGTTGTAGTTTGCTTGTTTATAGATATCTTTTGATCAAACTTGGCAAATATATTCATTTTATACTAAGCAATAATTATTTTACTTAAAACACACACTTTATTAGTTTCCTTGTAGCAGCAAACCTAGGTACTCGTTAAACCTAATGTTATTTAAATAGATCAATTGAAAATCAATTCAGCCAAATGGAAATTCGCTAAGACAGCAGGTTTGCTGCGGCGGGGGTATTTTTTTTTATGTTACAACTTTCAAAATGTAAAGAATTATTAATACTTCTTGATATCGGTATTTAACATATTATTCTAAATTAAATCGACTTGTATTTTTAGGTGAAGAGGGGTTAAATAAAGGACAAATCAGTAAGTAATAAATTTACAACATAAACATTCACATGGCCAATATATATACAATCACAATCTCTGGACCTAAAAAATCCAGATGTTTAAATATTCAATTGCCATTGAACAATGAATAATAAAGCGTAATTTATAATTGACTATTATATTTAATATAATATAAAATATTCACAGGCATTATATGAATCCTTTCACGGTAAACTCGTTATACAATATTTATACATAACATATTAATCGGATGTAGTTTTATTTCAATTCACAAACCAACAAAAATTTTTTGTGGAAATGAAAAATCGGTGTCATTTTTAACATAGCATTAAATTCCATTTGTACATCTTTAATCTTTGTTCGTGTTCAACGTGAAGTGTACAATGCAAAATTTTAGTTTTCAACACCATGCGTAAAGCAAATTCTACGTAGGGTAATTTATAATTTAATTTACGTAGTCAATTCTTTACTCGAATCATTCACTCAATCAACTTCTTCGTCACTTTTGTCTATCATCGCTTTAATATTTTTTATACAGTTGGCAGCGGTGGTGATCAAAATCATTATACTAGCAATGGTACAAGCAACAAGCACTTTACAGGATGTGCTGTAAAAAGCCCCCATCGGTTCTGGTGGGGCGATAGGAGGTGGTTCCAGCCTTTTTTGAGTCCACGTTTGACCATCATGTACATCTGGAACAATTAATTGTTTAATATAAAATGCAAAACAGTCAATAAACAAACTTACCACACAACATTTTACTTTCTAGTTTTATGTCTAAGACGCGAAAAATAAAGAAAAATTTAACAAAACACATTTTTGTTTCGGAAAAAGGTCCTTTCAAGCTCATAGAAACAGTTAACCAACAAAGTTGGTCACATAAACGCAGTTAGGTCCTCATCCTACTACTTGTAAAATCGGAATGATGGAAACCACTGAAGAAAGTAACTAACCCTAAAAAATGTACACAATTAAAAATGAGTGTAAACATTTCGGAATTTTCTTTATTTCCTGGGGACCAAAGCTTACCATAAATGCTTCTCTTAGAAGTGTTAGAACCTGGGACTAAACCTTGTCAGAATTTCAAAACCACAATATTCCCTTAAAATTCTATTCCCTCTCGAGGAAATAGACAAGGTATGAATGAGCTTTTAATTCATACATTCGGACCATCACATCGTTGAGAAACGCCTATAAAATATCTGCAAGTTATTTATAATCCCTAATTTTCATACATGGTGATAGCTAGATTATTGTCTCAAAACTGGCAAAGGATGATGGTGTCCAATGCAATTTTACACTTTCAAACAAAACATTGTCAACAATTACAAACTAACATCAATTTGATCTGTTCCGATTAATGATTTTAACCCCTCATAGGACACACTTTAACTTGATCTCCAGGATGAGACAGAATTTTTGAACCGAGGAAAATAATCGAACTGTGGGTTTTCCCAATGGATTAATGCGAACCTGCAATGTATCCAACACGGCGGCTAGTGTTTTCATCAATTTATTGACGTAGTTATATCCCGAAGAACGAAATTCTAATTTTACCTCACACTGACAACATGAGTTATTAATAGATTTACCACTCATCCCTCCTGTGTGCCCAGGGGCTCCAGCGTGTCTAGGGGATGGTTGATACACATGTCTATGAAATCTCCGCTTTTCTCTGTAGTCGTCCACCGGCTCTGACGTAGTCTCTCCTCCTCCCGACCCAAAGAGGAACTTGAGGATCTTCACAGTCACCCCTTCCTTGTTCTTCTTCGGCGTTTCTTCTTCTTCTTTCCCTTGGAAGAGAGCCCATATCATCTCATACTCGCGGGCCGGGTCTGCAAAGAGAATACTCGAGAATTGTCCATATGTATAAAAATAAAATGCATCCTCCTGTATAAATGTATATACCCCAAGTACAGATTTTCATCCTCATGGATCAGCTGAGGGCAAGTGATAATACTTTTCCTACAGTCACCCGACAAAGTAGGCTTCCTTGCACTACTTAGCAGACAAATTAGCTGATTACTTACTTTTGCACTATTTTTTGCCGCATTCCAGTGTTCCAAACAAGCGACACAAAACAGTGTACTGTTATTGGACACGTAATACGTGTACGGTTGAAAATTAGTTTGGCAACACTTAAAGATAATACGACTACGATCAGCTGGTGCAGTGTTTCCCATTTTGCTCAACACTTGGATTTAACCTAACCTAAAAACGTGTTGCATCATGTTTGAAAGACTAATTATTTATATGGAACTGTAGGAAAAACCTAATGTTTAACACGAGTGCAAAGTGCCTTTGCTGCTCTCGAGAAGATTTAATTACACAAATAACTATTCCAGTCTCTTTATTAACTAGAGTGCGTTATGATTTTTAATGGTTTACGGATTATTTATTCATTATTACATGTCCTTTGGGATTATAACCTAAAAGTAGCGTTTATAGCGTAATTGTAAGCGTGCTGGACTTCAGTGCGGGGGACGGGTTAGATTCCCGGCACATCCATAATATAGGATTGGACAGCTTTCCCTAAAGGTGTTTGAATACTTTCTCCTTTGAATCATCCTGTAGTGGACAACAAAAATGAAAAATATAGCTCAAGTTATAAGTTACGCTAAAATAGTAAAACAAAGTTTAATAGTCATCAGCTGACACAAATGTGAACCGATCATAAAATCCTCATCACAGGAGTTACTATATTTACAACGGAACTAGAAATCTACTTCCAGTAAGTCAATCATAATAAATACGTTTTGGGTCGTAATTAAAATTTTATGTCATATATGAATGTTTCATATAACTCTTTAAATACAGTTGGTTCCTGGTCAGAAGTACACTTATTGCACGCACTAAAATGTCTCTAACACCAAATAAGAACTTAAATTTAGTTTTGGCAAGAGAGAACATTTTATACTAGGCGAAACTTAAGAAATTGTTCATTGTCCTTTTTCTCTGTGGTAACTATTTTAAAACAGTCATCCAGTTATTTATTAGTAGATCAATTCAATTTCAGTCAGTTCATAGGTATACATTTTAAACCAACAATTAAGTAAAATGCAATATGTTTATATTTTCTAATTACTTATTAGTTACTTTTAAATTCAAATACAAATTTTAAGGTATGATCAATCTTTGTAGGTTAATTTGAATTTGTATCTGCATAGATTAAAAACAATTGTTAGTTGAATGAAAACATGTTTTAAATAATTCAAGGACGAGCTAAATATTGTTATCTGTCAGTCCTATATTACATATTTATTAAATTCCAATTTGACTTTTTGACCATATTAAATTAATTGGTTATCACAATCAACATGATAACATACATTCCTGTCTTGTTAGCTTTTAGTTTATATTATACGGTAGTCAAAATGGAAAACCTTTTAAAGAATCAATTATGTCGTTTTTCATATAGAAAATAATACTCATGTAAAAATTTTTTTCTAGTACTAGAAATATTTCAATTTTCTATCTCATTAAAAATCACATTACTCTGTTGCTAATTTTCATTACTCTTTTAACTGTTTTTTTAATAAGATATTTTAATTGTACGTGATAACATTGGACTGTTAGGTATTAATTTAATTACAGTACTCTTTAAACTGGTTTTCTTATGATTCATTATTTTTGCCGATCTTAATACACGTTTTTTTGTGTAGTTAACTCCTTGAACTGATCCTGTCACAGAAGGACTACATAATTTATTAGTCCAACTGTTATAGAATTATGTTACATTTGTACCCTCAACTGACATATTATAACCATTATTTTTACCAACCACACCTGATCATACCTAATAAAAATGTTTAGCAAACTAATATTTAAAATGTTTTTTGTTTTCATTTTAATACTTAATAGAGCACAAACATTTCAAAAATTACGTTGGTATTTGTCCATAAAAAAGGTAGGTAAATTCGTGATTTAATTAAACGGTGAAATCAGAAGTGCAAAAAAACATCGTAGGACTTTAAAGTAGTTGACTTTTAAATTACAACTAAAAACAAAAATACTCACCTTCTTCTCGCTCATAGTTCATCGTGACCAGGGTCAAATTTTGTCAAAACTTGTAAAACTTTGTAAAACTTAGCTTCGAAGAACATTCAGGCTAGATGAAAAATCAAATGATAAAAACTACATTTCTGATACTGTTATCACTTAAATACCAAATGGAACATTGTTTGAGATAAGAGTATAAAATACGCCAGTAGCGCAGGGCTTAGTTGATAACGTTATAGTTAATGAAAATGTAAACACCAATGGCAAAAATGTGTAAACATCAGGGAATAATAGGGTATTTGATAAATGTAAAATCTGTTGGAATTTCGCTTCAAAACCATGTTATTGATAGCGCACTTAAAAATTATCGGATGGCACTTAGGAGGGACCTTTTCAATAAAAATAAGGTTCTCCTAGCATATCTTTTCTATGTAGGGGGACATTCCAAATAATTTCTTTTCCTACAACTCAGTCACGGCGTTATAACGTGGCTAGGAGTTGTTAGAGATTTGCGGGTTTCGAACCCGTGACCTTCAGGACAGAAGTCTCGTGCTTATACCAGCTAAAAGATTTAATTATCTTTCTCAGTATCTTGCTTTTGACACTCGTAATTAGTTATATGAGGTTAATTATGAATTACCCTGTAAGTTTAGATTTTATTACATAAGGTAAAGCACCAGGTATGAGCATAGGGTAGCATAAGGTATAACATTATCCACTTTTTTTAGAACAAAGTTAATCCATCAGTCTGAAAATAAATCGTTAAAAATAACGATATTAACTTTCACTTGGCATAGGAAAATGAACTACAGGGTGTCCCATAAATCTCTACCAATATTTTAGGGCATTGTTCCTGAGTAAAAAACATATCTAAATATCATATTTAAATTGTCCGGAAGTCCTTACTGTAGTTACTCACACAGCCACCATTGTGTTTTTTTCACTTATTATTTTTTCTAAAAAGTTGCTAAAGATACAAAATTGATACTTTGCAAAAACATTTATTTAAACTAGACGAAATTACAAAAAAAATTATGATAATTTTCAAATTCATATAAAAAAAATGGTGGCCAATCAAAACTTTTTTGTAAAATCAACGGTTTTTGTGTTATTTAAGAAACATAATTTTAAATAGCGGCCATTTTGTTTTATCAATTTGAAGAATTGTGTTATAATTTTTGTGCAGCTTTTCCTAGTTGTCATAAATGTTTGTGCACAGTTTCAGTTTCGTACCATAAACCACTTTTTAGAAAAAAAAAACAATGTAAAAAACAAAATGGAGGCTGTGTGAGTAACTAGGGAACTCTGGACAATTTAAATGTGCTATTTAGATCAGGAACAATGCTCTAAAATATTGGTAGAGAGTTCCAGGGCACCCTGTACAGATTTTACAAAACTGAATAAAAGCATTACATTATTGATCAGTTTTGACCTAAGTTGTTTAGATCCAACATCTACATTTGAACATAGACAGCAAATAATTTGAATACAATTAAATACAAACTTGCTTACATAACAAATCAAAAAGTTTAAACAAATCAACAAATCGTAATTAACGCAATCAAGATTAAAAATCTTGATTGCCAACAACGATGTAATGTAAGTAATTTCCAACCAGAAGGAAAGGTGAAAGTAAAAGTCTATAAATTAATGACACTAATAATTGATATAATAATAAGTACTAATTTAGGGTCTTAGGGAGGAGGTTGATAATAGTGTGTACACAATAATGGTAAGAAATCGGCAATCATTGATGTACAAATTACGATTACAGAATGTATACTGTAGATATTTTTATGGTCTTTTTTTGACACAGCAGATGCTTATTATGTTTCCTAACCTAATTTCCCATTTTAATTTGCAAATAACGATTCTATAATATACGGTAGAGTTACGTAACATACCGTTCCGATAATAGTGACATTATATTACCGTTACACAAAAATACTATACTAATTCCCAACTATTACAGCAAAGTTTCCAATAGTAAACAGAACTTAAGACATATTTGCTACTACTATACATAGCGTAACTTTACACAACGTAATATAGAGGTTTGCAAGAGTGACCGTCACGAACTCAAATGCGACCATCACGTAGAAGACGAAAAGATCTGGTTCTTTTGAGCTTCGTTTGTTCGAAAGTCAGAAATGACAATTTAATTTGTTGTGTAATGTTGAATTTAAGAATATAATCATAGATTAAAGAGTAAAAAAGGTCTACTATGATATAATCTAACCGGTTACTGTTTATAAGACGCCAACATTTAAACAATTATTATATTTATATATCATATTTTATTGGACAAAATTATAAAATTGTACTAAACAGTCCCAAACAGTTGTAAAAAATACTAGTGAAGCCCTATTATATTTTGTTGCTTAAATCCACTAACAATTGTATCATCATGTATCGTGTTTTGTTCATTATAAGACAATTTATCCAAATATAACCTGCAAATTTATTACTTTCCCAAATTTCCTTCCTTAGATCTTCGTCGATCGATGTAAAAATCAACCACGACATTGTTAGATCGGTTTAAACTATTAACAGTTTAAAATGATGTACTTACCTGTCTTTAAGCTCATTACCCACTTTTATAAAGCAATTCACTGTTAAAATAATTCCGAAAGAACCAGTTTAAGCTAAATAGTTACAGCTTGCACTCAAAACGAATCAGGCCAAAACACGGATCCTCTTTGGGACTTTAGACTGACAAAGATAAGTTGATAAGAAGAGTAATGTAGTCCTATCATCGGTTATCTTCAAGGTCAAGTAACGGGAACCAAATATAACCTTTACCTTGGGCCTTAAATGTCCTCTTGAAGGACAACTACTATCAGAAGCTCAACTTGCAACGCGCCACCTGCCTTCCGTGGTCGAACTTGGAACTAAAGCAATCTTTAGATTCGATTTCTATTTAACGTCCTCAGGGTTTCCTTCAAAGTTATATAGGTACTGATACGTTTCTCCAAAATTTTCTGATTGAGTTTGAGTTGCAAAGTCATACAGGATCTGAGTATTACGATATAATTGACTATTTTGCTGTTTGAGATCCAAACTAGCTTGAGGTTCTTAGATTAATGGTGTTAAAGAACGTGTTTTTGAAATATTGGTTGGATTATTACAATTTCCTGAAAGATCTGAACCCCAAATTTTGTCCCGAGTGCTATTCGAAATACCATACCATACATTAGGAAAAGGTTATTCGTTAGATTTAAAGTAATCTCACTTTGATTTTAAAATAAAAAACTACTATCTACAAAACTAATAAAAAGATAATAACTGATTCACAACACCAATGGTTGACCAATTATAAAACAAACTGCTAAAAAATTACTGGTTCCCTCTAAAAACTGACTTAGGGAAGACGTTATCCAGAAACAACAATTCGAGCAACTTGTACTTTCGGAGGCGGATCGAAATCGATTAAAACTGGCGATCCACTTTCTCTAGGCGGAAGAGAAAGGTTGCAATGTGTACAAGTATGTAGTACGGTGGTAATATGCAGGTGTATAATAACAAGTCCGGAAACATATTCCGGAACATCGGTATTACGTAATTCTTGTGCTTTCGTTGAAGAACTCAAAATTATTTTGAAAGTCATGAAATTAAAAAATCCTCTATTAGTAACATGAAAGATTTTCACAACATTGCTACGCAAGCAAAATTTTCAAATTAGTCACTTTTCAAAATTACAATCTAACTGCATTGTTTGAATTGTGTATTTAAAAAAGTTAATTAAAATGTGAAATCTTGCTTTGCCAAAAGTCGATTGCAGAGCATAATTTTAGAATATCAATATTGTATCAATTAACTAATTAACTAGTAATTTTAAACTCAAATTCCCAATTGAAAGGTGAAAGGAAATGTGAAGCAACATAAGCCTACTTCAAAAGTAACAACTATCAAAAAAACGTTTAATAAGTTAAACCAATAGTAAAAAAAAATAGTCAGCCATCATTATGACTAGTAACACCAATGAAATTTGGAAATTACAGTTCCTTAAGTACCACACAACTTTCTCACGACGGTTTCAGGGTAAAATAAAAATACAATACTGTTCTAAATACGGTAGTAACTCCGACGAAAGTTAGTGTACAAAACATAACAAAAAACTAGTCGCGACGATTCAAAATTTCAATTCCAAATTACAACTAAACGTGGAATTGACAGTATTCGTTGACATATACTCGTACGAACGTTACCACTTGCACGCTTTCTAACAAGTTCCGTTAACTCCGGTGAAACCACAAACCAGTTCTAGCTATTATTGGTTTAAGTAATTGACACAAGGTTAATTGTGGTGTCCAAACTTTAAACTGTTCTTATGGCCCAGTTAGAAGTGTGTAATTTTGATCCGGAACTGTACTTTGGAATGGAACGTTTCCGATCAAAACAAGAAGGTATTGGCATAAAATTATTTACTTATAAGATTTTTTTTTAAGAAAAGGAACCGGATCAACAATCATCTACAAAAATTAAAAAACCGTAGTTTGCACAGTGACATTGTTTTAATTTAAGTGAATCAGAACATTATTTTTCCATTACATTTATAGACTATGTTTACAAAGATGCAGTTTATTCTAAAAAGTCTCCACACTTAAAATACTTGAAATAAAATAAACGTCTGGAAAATTTACGTAAACTGAAACTACGTCTATAGTTAGTTACAAAACTGCAACTAGTGTTTTATAAGGAACATATGTTTAAAAAAAGGTGGATATCCTTGGAAATTAGAGTTTAATTTGTAAATGGCCTGATAAGACTATCAAATTCTAACATGAAATTCACAATATACACAAGTATCTATTTACTTACGTAAAGACGTAAAATGCTTGAAAGTTCACATTACCAACCTGAAAAAAAACAAATACATTATTGTTATGCAGGGAACTAAATAAATTAGCACTAATTTCGCTCGATTACAAAAATTATTGGTTTCAGTAAATATTATATTTTGTCCCAATACAAAATGTTGACAGTTATATGGATCACAAATTATGAAATAAATAGACAAGCCTATTCAATAAATTAAATTTGGGGCCGTAAATATCAGTAATACGACACTGAATTTTGTATAGGAAGTTTTCAAGCTGATCACTGGTT